TTACAAACTACTTGACGTAGGTGCTCACGCATGAAATCGTTGTATTTCCCAAGGAGCTTGACAAAACTGAGGAAATTACTGTTACGTTCAGTGAACAACTTGTCCAATGAGCCCCAGAAAACCAAATTATTCTTTGCAAGGAAGAGGGTAATTGAGATCAGACACTTGAGCACGTTCCTACAATGCTTGTTTCTACATTAACAATGCTCTGCTTTTCTGCGTCTATGCATTTATTCAGCTTGAGCCTGGACTCACCCTCCATCCATTTGGAGTAGGCCATAAAATGGCTGCGTGACTTTTCATGTTGCTTCAGAGCATCAGTTAAGCTATGCTGGTAATTGCACACAGAAAGCACACGCAACAATTTGGCATTCTTGTCAAATATTCTGCAACACAAACAGACCACTTTGTCAGCTGATTTTGAGTAAACTAGCCAATGCTGATTCAGTTTCTCGCCATTCTTGAGCATTCTTTCACAGTGTGACTTTGAGAAGTGTCACTGCTGTTCATTTACTGGAAATGTCATATCCTCGATTTTGCACGGCTCGTTCAAAACTGTATGATCAATATCGGCAGAGTTTAGGATCGCCACTCATAAAGCAGGATCTGATGTATCGATTTGTGGTGTGCAATTTTTCTCACTGCTGTTTCTATCATGCGAGGCTGATTCTTCTATATAGTTTCTCTCTTTTCATGTAAACCAGATTTTTCTTTATCATCAGTCTCCTTTTCATGTGAGCCACATTCTTCTTTATCATCACTCTCCTTTATATCACCAGGAAAACTGGACGATTCTCCATCACTTTCCTCACATTTCCATTTCTTATCTACAGGAAAATCTGCTAATTCCTTAGTAATAGGACTTCCATCACTTACACTTCGCTCCTCAATTTCTTCTGCACTGGGACGATCACTACTGCCTAAAGCCCGGCCTATGTTGTTCGGTTTCAGATATTTTCCCATCAAATTTGCCCCTTGCTGCAAACTAGATTGCAATTGCGCATTTTGCTTCCTATACCTAGCTCCTGAAGGCTTGTTCAGGGACAGCTTTTATTTTCTTTAGGAGAAAACAGATAGTGTTAGGGAAAGCAAAAGTCTATGTTCCGCAGTCTTAGAAAGTCATCAAACATTACGTGTTAAGCATGGCAAAAGAAGTAACAGTATTTATTTTAAATTGTTGCATAGAAAGGGATTTGGTAGTTATCTCTGGCATCTCATTAAATTTGTCCTTTATTAGTCACTATTTACACGCTTCAAGTCTTAAAACACAAGTACACTTTCACAATTACACAATAAAACAAGGTTCCCAATATCGCAACTGGGCTCTCACTTCGTTCTATCTCACTGCCTGACTGGCGACGCCCCACCCCTTATACACCCATGAGGGCATGGCTGACAACATTCTAGGAGGTTCTAGGAAAATTTAGTTCTCAGGAAGTCTGGAAGGTTCCATGAGATTCTACAAAGGTCCAGAATATTTTAGAAGGTTAGTAAAAAATGAATAAGGAATACCTGAAACATTTTACTTCAAACATTCTATTTTCCCTTTTATTGCTAACAACAAAAACAGCACCCCAAGCCCAGCGCCCCCCCCCCCAACAAGCCCAGTACCCCAGGCAGTAGCCTGGGTCGCCTTCCCCTAAATCTGGCCCTGTATACCACATTTGGGAGCAAAGTAATATCCTTTGTCCCTTCTGAGGGACACGTGTAGATTCCCAAACAAGTCTATATGCTCTCAGTCTGGGCAAAGTCTATTGCAAATCAATAACTGGCCATTGCACATTGCTTTTCATTATGCTTGGCAGTGCTGTGACCTGCTAAGGAGGGAGGATCTCTGCATAAATGAGCATTGTGATGAGCAGTCAAAGACAAACAGTGAATGTACATTTGTGTGTGTGGGCGCCTGCGCATGGGTAGGATGGTCAGATAGCAAATTGACATGGTAATTACTAGGGATAGGCGATAAAGTAATGTGGGGAAGGTATTAAACTAATAATGTTATTGAAATAAATAGCTAAGCGGGGAGCCTGCAGGAGGAGTAAAGGTTACTTCAGAGACAATTACTGATGAATTAATAGCTCAGTGCTTCAAGGTACTTAAGTGAGCGCAGTAAGTGACAGTGGCTCATGAGCAGCCAGCACCGTGTGGGGACTTTGGATTAAGAGGGAGGTTCATTGAATTCTAGTGGACTTATTTCATGTTGCAGAACAGATGGCAGTGTGGTCTAGTGGACTGGCAGTCAGGAGATCTGAGCTCTAGCCCTGGCCCTGCCACCGACCTGCTGTGTGACCTTAGAGGTGTCATCTCACCTCTCTGTGCCTTGGTATCACCTCTGATTAGACTGAAAGATCTTTAGGGCAGGGAGTGTCTCTGACGATGTGTACATACAGTGCCAAGCACAATGGAGCCCCAAACTCAGCTGGGACACCTTGGTGTTATTTTATACTATGATATAATATAATAATTATAATGAATTATAACGAATACATAAATGGGCAAAGGGGGACAACCCACTGGCCCAGCCCCACCAGATTTAGCAATTCAAGGCCCGCGAGGTTGAATGACACATCCCAGCTGGCTGGAGTTGCAGTAATTTTGACTGACAGCTCAGGGACATGTTCCTGGAGGAGTCAAAACACACAGGGAAGCTGCCGTGTTCCTGGGGGCTTGATACAGACCTGGTTTGAGCGACGTTCTGGATGGGGTGCTGCACCCACGTGAGCACTTCTGCTTCTACTACTTTTGCCCCATCCCGCTCTGAGGCCACCACGGAGGTGATGTGTGACTTGTAATTCTGTGTGCAGTGTGCATGGAGTAGCAATGCAGCATCCCCGCACCTGTGTCCACTCATTTCTCTTCCAGCAAGGAAATACCCCAACCTTAGGCTAGATCCTGCAAAGTTCTGAGCACCCTCAGCTCCGACTGGCTTCCAAGGCACTGAAGGGATCAGCCTCTGACAAGAGTAGCTCCCAGAGTCCACATCTTTCCCGACTCCTCAGACACCAGGACAGCTCCAAACTCTTGCCTGTCCTTTGAACTGAAATCAAACCCTGGGAGGATCAAGAGGGGGTAGCTTAACTTTTGGGTTGCTCATGTTTTGTGCACCTTTGGCTTCCTAGCTCCACTGGGAGATGCTGGTGCCACAGGACCTCCAACCCCAAACAGCCAATCTCTCAGGTTCTTCTCCGAACTAAACTGAGTCCGTGAACTCCTGGCAGCTCCCCCACCAGTAGCAAGGGCCTTTGTGTAGAAAATAATGTTTGAGGAAGCCCAGTTATGAGATACAAGCACTGATTGTCGGTGAAAACATGACAGATTTCATGGCCTGATCTGAGAGACGCATATTCTTAGTCCAGGATCAAGTCCACATTGCATTCATTTTACAGACAAGACAGAGCTAAAACTCTGAACTAAAAACAGCTCTTAACTTTGCTGAAGCTCTGATCTAGGTCCAGATTTTGTGACATGCCTCTGTGTCTTTCTAATGAGCATCTGAACTCCTCCAAAGGAGGGAGTGTGAGTCTCTCTAGTTAATTTAGTGACAAAACCAAGCTGTCAATATCTGACTCTACAAAATCCTTAATGTGGCAGTGCTTTTTAGCCGGAATTTCCTCTGCTAGACTTTCCCTACTTCTGGACCAGTTTAAAAGAAGAGTAATTTGTTGTGGTGGTGGGTTTTTAGAAAAATAATACTTAGAGAAGCAAACAAATATTTCAGAAGAGTAACTGTAGACCGATGTGGAGACTTCCACATTGCTACCCCTCAATCTTTAGCAAACTAAAAGAGTGAACCATAAAATCAACCAAGCAGCATTCTAAAGCATTTTATCCTGTGTCAGTGACTGTCAAGGAAAAAGTAACTTCCCCCAGACCAGACACATCGCTACACAGAATCATAGAGTATTAGGGTTGGAAGAGACCTCAGGAGGTCATCTAGTCCAATCCCCTGCTCAAAGCAGGACCAACACCAACTAAATCATCCCAGCCAGGGCTTTGTCAAGCCAGGCCTTAAAAAGTTCTAAGGATGGAGATTCTACCACCTCCCTAGGTAACCCATTCCAGTGCTTCACCACCCTCCTACAAATAAGGTCCAACTGCTGATGAATAAGTTAATGGCACAGGGTTCTACTGATGCGGTTGAAATATTTCATTTCTATAGTTAAAAAGCAAATCCAGAACTACCACACTGCTTTAGAGCCAGGCCTTCAGCTGGTGTACATGATCCATTGATTTCGGTAGAGACACCAGCTGAGGAACTGGCCCATACAGTCTACTGTATAAACAGTTGGGACGATGCAGCAGAAACAGGGCAGGGGTGCCGCCAGCAAGGGACAAGGGTTAATCAGCTTGACATAAGCAAAAAAAACCCAGAGCAACTGCAAATGCCCCCCAGCCTGGCACTCAACTCAGTCCTATGACCCTGGGGGCAGGAGGAGCCCTGCCATTCACCGCCTGTCTTCCAAGCAGTCATTTGATAGCCTATCCCCTGAGCACATGTGCAAGAGGGGGAAGAAGTTGGGCTGAGTTTAACCCCTTGCTTGCTGGAGAATTGGGAGCAGCGCTGCCCCAAGCCAAGTCTGCACACACTGTACTGTCTATACATTAAAAATCTAAATGAAAAGGAGACATTTACAAATGAGTAAATACGGTAATAATAATAACGCATAACAATACGGAAGGGCTTGGCCTAGAACTGCTTCCTCACACGTCTAGTTCCGTCGCAGCCAATGAGACTGTGTGTGTGTAAGGATGGCTCATATGAATAAGGGCTGGCAGGATCAGGCCCTAAAACAACATCAAATATTGATACACCAGACAGAATATCAAAAAGCCCATGAAACGGGCATCGTTCATTCATGCATACACACTGCAGGTGACCTAGGAGCGTGCCTGCTGCGAGAGTCCTGTAAGAGCTACCCCAGCTGGACATCAAACTGAAGGAGCCCCTGGAAGTTAACCCTTGGTGCTTTGGTGCTCAGCACAGCTGAACAGAGTCTTACCTTCCTTAGCATGCATCCTGTTTGCCACCCACAAGAAAGTCATTGCCACAAGACACCCGACGTGAATATGCCGCATCCTCAGACACAGCTGTGCTATGAAGCAAACAAATGTACTGTCATGAAACAGCAAGGATATGCTCAAAGCCACCTAGCTGGAAAAAAAAATAAAAAATAAAAAGTAGGAGGCCGGTAGAATTAATAGTGGAATTAATAATTCATTGCGTGTTTGAATTAGTAACCTGATCTCTTCCTTGCTCCCTTCACTTGGTTTTAATGATCTGGATCAAATGTCCCTAGGATTTACACTGTACCAGATACCTTGTCAATACGCCATATTTAGAAGAGATATGAATGTTTCGGCTATGGTATATAACTGCAGTAAGGCTGTGCTGACAACATGCCCTTCTGGGGCTATGAAAATAATTTAGTTCACAATGCAAGACAGTGAACCAAAATGGGAATTTCAGCCTTAACACAGAAAAGTACCCTAGGAATTAACTTGATTTATACTGCGGCACAGGCACTCACTGCACAAAGCCAACTGTTGATAAAAGCAAAAGAAACACAGAACATATTTTAGTCCATATTTTTAAACAAAAGCCACATTTCACTGCTGTTCCCAGAGATGTCATGCGATACGCATATCAAAGATCCAGGGAGCTTCCGATGCAAAGGTGCTTGCTCGCTTATCCGCCCAAAGGCTTGGGCTGGTTAGTTAGTTCTAACTGCAATTCAAAACTGCCAGTGAAATAAACAGAAGGATTTTGTGCTGCACAGCAGGGCCTGGAAGGGGGAGGACGTTTAACCAGCATTTAGCTGGTGAAAAGTGGATGAGAAAGGGCAGCCCATTTTCTCGGCTATGTCTTGTATCTTGGCTTGAGTGGCAAAAAGCAGCACAGTTTGAAAACCTGGCAAGATTCCAGCAAAGCTTAGTGGTTTGTTACTACCTGTGAATATGGTTGGACACAGCCTGATGTTGGAAAAGGAGACCTGTGTATATTCAAGTGGGAACAAGGCAGGTTTGATTAGCTAAGAATGTCCTGAAAGATTTGCCTCTAAAAGATTACACAACAATTCTTTTAAATTGACTTCCTTCCCCCCAGCGTCCAAACTCGACTTCCCATTTTAATATATTGCTTTTTAAAAAAGAGGGACTAACAAGATGCATCTGCTACGATCAGACCCTGTGTCCTCTTTGTTTTATTCCTCACCCTTTCTTTATGGTCATCTTTCTTTATAGATGCATTAACAGGTGTGTTGTGAGCAAGACACGAGAAGTCATTCTTCCGCTCTACTCTGCACTGGTTAGGCCTCAGCTGGAGTATTGTGTCCAGTTCTGGGCACTGCATTTCAAGAAAGATGTGGAGAAATTGGAAAGGGTCCAGAGAAGAGCAACAAGAATGATTAAAGGTCTAGAGAACATGACCTATGAAGGAAGGCTGAAAGAATTGGGTTTGTTTAGTTTGGAAAAGAGAAGACTGAGAGGGGACATGATAGCAGTTTTCAGGTATCTAAAAGGGTGTCATAAGGAGGTGGGAGAAAACTTGTTCATCTTAGCCTCTAAGGATAGAACAAGAAGCAATGGGCTTAAACTGCAGCAAGGGAGGTTTAGGTTGGACATTAAGAAAAAGTTCCTAACTGTCAGGGTGGTTAAACATTGGAATAAACTGCCTAGGGAGGTTGTGGAATCTCCATCTCTGGAGATATTTAAGAGTAGGTTAGATAAATGTCTATCAGGGATGGTCTAGACAGTATTTGGTCCTGCCATGAGGGCATGGGACTGGACTCGATGACCTCTCAAGGTCCCTTCCAGTCCTAGAGTCTATGAATCTATGAATCTCTTGCTGTGTTTTGTCTCTCAGATTGTAAGCTCCTAGGGACAGGGACATGCCCCTGTTTAGTGTCTGAAAAGCACCACGTACATCTCTGGTTATTATTAATAATTATTTGTATTACAGTAGCATGCAAAGGCCCCAACTGAGATTAGAGCCCCATTTTGCTAGCCCCTGTACATGCATATTGAAAGACTCAGCCCCTGCCCTACAATCTGAATAGACAAGACAGGCAGCAGGTGGAAGAAAGGAAGTATTATCTATATTTCACAGATGGAGAACAGAGGCACAGAGAGATGAAGTGACTTACCCTACGTCACACAAGAATTCTGTAGCAGAGCAGTTCTGGACTCAGCTCTCCTGAGTCCATTATGTGGTACCGTCTAAACAATAAATAGTTATGTGTAAGAGGACCAGGGTTTGGTTCATGGGCATGTCTCACTTGGCTTTCATCTCCCGCTGTGCACAGATAGGTTGCTACCACTGCAGGTTTGTTGTTGTAACTCCTCTGTGGATTTTTTTCTAGCCCAACCTCCATGAACGCTGAGAACTGTTTCACAGCGCTCACTTACAAGAATGAATTAGCATTTCAATTGAGGGAAGCAGGGGTTATTTGGTACTGTGTTAGGTACATACCAATGCCCAAGTTAACCCTGGACTCCCTAAGCAGGGGAGGCCGCCCTTGTTAAATGTGGTGCGTGGTATGCTCAGGGAAAATGCCACATCCTCAGCAGCTGATGGTGTCATATCCTTACCATATATCAGTGCTGGTGAAAGGTGCTGAGCTGGCAGTCTTGGAAACCAGAGTCCTCTCTTCACTGATTCCTCTATGTCGTCAACCAATATGTTTTAAACCTGATGGGGAGGGATCACTTCTGAGGGATGAGGATAATTAAGTCTCAGGCCCATTCTGCCTTGGGAAGGATAAAGAGGAAGATATTAAGTACGATGATGGTTTTTCTGATGTGGTCACTCAGCCCCTAAGAACAGGACTGGGACCCATCAAGTCATTTCACACAGGAATTCCAACAGTTGTAAGATAATGCCAATCTGGGATAGAATTCAATCCAAGATCTTAAAGGCTCTGTATTCCATCACCAACTCACTTCCCATGCATTTATTCACACAATAGCCCAGCCATGTTCTTTGTTAATTTAATTTTATGGCTAGTCTCATGATACCTGGTACTTTTCTGAAATCCTCAGCTCCTGGAGAAAAATGCTTACATGCTGCGAACCTCGGCTTTTCATTTAAAAAAAACCCAGTACGTTTCTAGCCTTTACGGCTGCAGAGAAAAGCTTGAGAAATGTGACCTGAGTGTAAAGTAAAGGTTCAGACAACAGAAGCTCAAAAAGAAGAACCCAACAATAATTTTTATCTCATGATTTTTAAGCCAATCAGTCATCATGCTCATCCCCTCAACAATGTTGTGTATTGACCTGATTATTCCTGCAAGTAACATATTTTGGGTTGATCATTCTACCAGGAATGATGACTATGATGGAGGTATTCAGTGGTTACCAATCAGGGTAGATGGGCAAAATACTAGATCTCCCATCTCTCATTGGACATTGATGCAAAGCATTCCCATGTTAAGTCCAAAGAGGTTCACAAATATTTTATGCCAGATCCAGGTCACATGGGCTCACAGGCCCTGAAGTTTGAAAATCTTGGTGGGGGGCACACAGGCAAGGGTCAGGGTCAATGGCTTTGTGCTCATTCTGCCTGACTGAATCTACTTATAAAGCATCAGCTTCTATGGGTGCTAGGTGTGAGCTCATAGGGGGACTGGGACTAGAAGTGGGGCTAGTGGTGCTGCTGGAGAATACCATTTGGTCTTTCCAGGCTCAACGGTGAGAGAGAGCAAGTGGGCACCATGATAGGGTGTTTACCCCACACTGGCATACAAGAGGTTACTAAAGCCCTAGGGAGGCTGCGCGGGAAGGGAAGCAGCCAATAGGAGAGAGGCTGCGAGGAGCAGTCAATCAGGGCCCAGGAGTCTCACAGAAATGGAGCTGCAGACAGAGCAGAGGTCGGTTGCTACTGGGAGCACAAGAGGGGAGAACTGTGTCCCTAGCACTCTAGCAGGCTGAAAGAAAGCTAGCAGCATGGACAGGTCAGTTGCTGGCAGGGACCGGGGGAGCAAGGGAGAACTCCTGGCTGGCTCCAGGGACTGAGCAGCTGATGGCCCTGAGGTAAGGGCAAAGGAGGAGCTGGGGCCATGGGGAAGTGTCTAGGGAATCGTAGCAGTGGTGAGAGGAGCTAGAGGAACAGCAGGAGGCTGCGATACACAGGGTCCTTGGGCTGGGACCTGGAGTAGTAGACGGGCCCGGGTCCCTCCAACTCACCACAGGGAAGTGGCAGGATTTGGACTGCAATACTAATCGCCAAAAGGGGGAAACACGGATGGTGACCTGGCCGAAGGGTTGAGCCATGAAGAGGACACTGCAGTTCCTGGGGCCGTGGGAAGGGCTGCAGACAGACAACGGGGACAGAGCAACAGTGTGCAAGCCACGGATGGGAGGGCATCGGCATCGAGCTAATCCCCAGGAGGCAGCGCCGGACCAGCGGTGAGTGATGCCCCCTGACAGGCGCAGTCTAAACGCACTGGCCAAGTGCAGCCTCAAAATGTGCTCATGGACAGCCAGCTAGCACCAAAAACCTCCCAGTCAGAGGTTCACAGACATGAACAGAACTTGTCTGGGCCTCTGCTGGTTCAGTCACCACCGTCCTCACTCAACATCAGCGGGAATCTCTAGAGTAAATTAGCAATGGACGCTGCTGGCATCTGTACACTGATTTCCCTCCTGTAGCAGGATTACCATCCCCAGTGCCCCGGGGACGTCCCGAGACATTATGGAACCGTTGGTCAGGAGGCACCGTGGAAGCACAGGGACACCACAAAGATGGTCCTGGCTTCCAATAAATCTCAGGAGAGCTGTGCATTTTAGGGTTGAACCCCTTTCCTGGTGGACTGGCGGATGGGGCAACCCGCTGCTTCCAAAGAATTGGTCCAAACCGACATTCGTCCAAAGATACTGAGGGTACGTCAACAGTGTGATAAAAAAACCTCTGGTACCGAATCTCCGAGTCAACTGCCCCGGGCTCGCGGTGCTATAAAGTAGCAGTGTCAACGTTCAGGCTTAGGCTGCAGCCCACACTCTGAGAGCCCACGAGGGTCTCAGATCTAGGGTGACCAGATGGCAAGGGTAAAAAATCGGGACGGGGATGGGGGATAATAGGTGCCTATATAAGAAAAAGCCCCCAAAATTGGGACTGTCCCTATAAAATCGGGACATCTGGTCACCCTACTCAGATCCCAGGCTCCCCCCCGAGCCCGAACGTCTATGCTGCAATTGTATAGCCCCGCAACCCAAGCCCTGCAAGCCTGAGTTAGCTGACCTGGGCCAGCGGTGCTCTTTTATTACAGTATAGACATACCCTGAATTTCCTGTCTCCTATTATTATTGTATTGTATTACAGAAGCTCCCAGAGGCTCCAGCAAATATCAGGGCCCCATTGTGCTAGGCACTGTACATACGCATAGCAAGAAACTGCCCCTGCCCCATAGAGCTTACACTAGAGAAGGCACAGAGTTGCATGGGAAACTGAGGCACTGAGGGGTGAAGTGACTTGCCCAAGGTCGCACAGCAGGTCAGTGGCAAAGCTGGGAATAGAAACCACATCGCCTGCCTCCTCTCATTCCTTATCCTCCTGACCACGCTATTTCCCATGGAAATAACCCCTACAGGAAACAATTTAGTCCTAGGACATTGCCATATGTTATAATTTTATGACCTCAATCTAGGTAGCATCCCTGAACTGCTTTACTTAATATCGCCCCCCCAAATTCCTATGGATGTTAGTTTCACCAGCCGCACGCTCCGAAGCCAGGAAGAGTTTATGCTTACAAAGGGAGAGCCATGCCAAAGGACCACCAATTTTGTCACTAAAGGGCCGGCTTTCTAATGGTTAACAGAGTAACATCTCACCAGCTGACTGAGGGAGAACAAAGCAAATGCTATGTAAATAATGCCTCTTTCTCCTGCTCTCTCTCCAGAGAAAGAAATGCAAATCTTGTTTGCCTTAATGTTTATGGAGGGTGGAGGTCTGGAGAGAGTCAACACAGTAGCCAGAATCAGTAGCTAGAGGAGTGTTAGCCATCCATTTTGTACACACTGGAGGGCAGGCGTCCTGTTAAGTAGAAGTGGCTTCATTTTATTTTAACTTAATCTGGTCAGTGTTTAACGTGGCTGTCACAAGGAGAGCAAAGCACCTTGAACCGAGGCTACACCAAGGCCATCTGCAGGTAGGACAAAAACAATTCTTCCTATCTGTCAGTGAGTAGAGTGTCCCCGTCCCTGGAGCCCGTGTGATACACTGGGTGATGGCTGTAGTGTAGCCCTGTTGTGTAGACATTAGGGCCGTTACCTTCTGACTGCACATTTTTACACATTTACCTTTCTTAATACAAAATGCATTCCAGATTTGCAAAGGGAAAATCTTTTTGGTACACTGAGGGCCTGACTCTGCTCACTCAGATTTACACCTGTGTAACTTGGTGGCTCTGATGGGAGTTACTCCGTATTTACAGTCCTGAAAGCAAGCCCAGAACTGGGTCCTGACTCTCCTGGCCAATACTATTGGCATTCTCAACATGAGATAATACACGTGAGCAGCTCTAAGACAGGCAGTGAAAGAGTAATGCCATCTAGAAATGTTCCAGGCAATATAACAAGCACATCGTTTACCAAAGGCAACCCTGAAAACAGTAATGTTTATGTGTCTGCCTTGTAATCTAAGGAAGAAGCAGGTCATTTAGTCTACACCACTCAGATGAATTCTGTTTTGAAATCTGATTGGGTGAGACAGCGCAGTCCTAGTCTTTAAAAAGTGATCTTGGATCCAAGATTTCCAAAACCAGGGATTAGTGATTTTGGATGACTCTGTTTTTTGGGTGCTCAACTTGAGACACCTTAAGGGACCTCATTTACAGAGGAGGGTGTTCAGCACCTTCTGAAAATCCCCTTCTGGCAACTCAAGCTGGGCACCCAAAACCACTAGCCACTTTTGAAAACAGGGCTCCAAATCAGATGGGGACAGTGCACCTGACTTAAAACTTGATAGACTGGTAATCGCTCCTAATTAGTGTGGTTGTTTCTCAAAGACAGTTGGTAGCCTAGAACTAAAGATAGCAAATCCACCCAATAAAGAAAGTACTGAAGATGAATGGTGACTCATAGGCAAGAAATTGATTATTACAGAAAACGTTAAGACCTCGGTGAATTACAATGTTCTTGCTCGACAGCTCATGCTCCTTTTTGTGCAGACTCTTGTAAAGCGGATGTAATCAGCTGAGGATAATCAAGACTTTGTGTTGCTTCTGAAAGATTTGCTTCTCGTGCGGTGCCACATTAGCCAGGGAAACGCAGAAGACAGCAAGCGTGTCATCTGTTTCCCTCCTTCTAAGGGTGAAATTCTCTGCTGCAGCAACAAAACAACACTCAGATGAATGCCAGGAAACCAAAAGACCCAAAGGCCTCAAAGGAAAGAGTGACAGGTGCTAAAAAAGTCACCTTCAATGCAGCAGGAAGAGAAGAAAGGGCCGTCTCTAAATCTAAGCCAGTAAGACATGTTGCATTTATTAATTAAGCAATAGGGATCGATACCCAAGTCATTTCTTGTGGATTAATGTCCAGCTGGGAGGAGCTGACAGCCTGAGGGACATGAACACCAATCTGTCATTAATCCCCAGGAAATGCTCTCTGCCAAGGTCATTAAGTGCCTGGATTTATTTTATGGGTGATAATAACAATAATCATACTTCCTCCCTTGACCCCCACCCCAGCTGAAGTGCTATGCAACAGCAGGAAATCAAATACAGTACAGTGTACACATGAATACAGACTTCCCTCTTCAAATACAAACACTCAACGTGTGTGTGTGTTCTATTTAACATCAGGGAGGAAAAGGCATTCAGCTACTGTGGTGCAGGGACCCATGTAAGAATTAGATTCACTAGCCAGACGACGTATCCACGCCCAGAGATGCAGGGCATTCACTGCCCCCATTCACACTCACTGTGGGTGGCTGGGATGTGCCGTGGGATGTGTGGGGTTGGGTGGGGTTTGTTGTGAGATGCTACCAGGGTGGTGCTTCTGCTTTCTCCTGTTGATATCACTCGGCTGCGTGCGTGTGTTCCCTCTGTGTGCTGCCCCAGCTCTGCGCAGATAGCTGATACAGCAAACCCGACGAGAACACCCAATAACCACAGAGTCTTAGTAAGGTACAAAGGCACCTCGGCCAGGTTTATTGCGACCCTGACACAATTTCAGTTCCCCGTAGATTACTTAGTCTACCGGGCATACTGCTAGAAAGTGCCGCTCGGCAATGGACTCAGCTCAGTGGCGGGACTTTCCACTGCCCCCTCAGCCGGACAAAGACACCACCCCAGGGATACATTTTTATACACAGGTACAAACAAGTTATACATCACTCCTGACGTATTGAGGTGCAACCCCTCTACGCAGCAAGGTACAACCCTTCTACGTAGTAAGGTGCCGCCTCGCACCTTGTACCTGTTGGTTCGATCAAAACAACTCTATCCATCATTTTACCCTTTTGCCCCTGTCATTGGGATGGGTCGGCCTGTTCCATGTTATCTGTGGAATGTTTCGGTATAATGTGTCTTGGTACCATGTTTATACTGTAACTATGCTAAATGAATATACATTTATGCAACATCAGCCCTTTCCTTGCCAGCTTCTGTGAGCAGGGCCTGCCTCTTGCTCACAGCTTAACTTTGCTTTATGCTATCAAAGTCTTGACCATTACTTTAGTTCAGGCCTTAGGGCCTTTACTTACTACAGGGTTTACCTGTTTGGTTAAAGGGTTCAATTCGTATTTTTGTTATCTTAACTTGGGGGCAGGCGAAGGGTTTGAGCTGCCAGGGCAGGATGGGTGGCTAGCGGCTCAGTGGGAAGCCATTTGGGGAAGCGTCCAAGACGGATGTCATGGACCAGATGCTCCTGCATCTGGTGTCATGACACCGGCACGTCTCTTCACTCAGACATCCGCACGCGCTCACTTCTTGGTCCGTATATTCCCCTTAAGTCCCCAGGTGCTCCTGCTGCTGGCGGTTACTCACCTTCCAAGCTTCAGATGGGCATAGAAACCACAAGAGCTTCAGAAGCCACAACTTCTAAACCAGCCTCTGTCAGCCTGAGGGGCCTTCTAGCCGCCCAGCGACTCACTAAGGAATTTAAGGTACTGTGGTTATTGCTGTAGAGATGCTCCCAATAAGAGCCACTTAAGAGCAAGGCTCCAGTGACCCCCTGGTTCTGCTGTGTCCCATAGCAGTAACCATCCCCCTCGAGCAGACACCAGGAGGATTCAGAACAGGAGCGAAAGAGGCTGGTATTGCTGCTAAAAGCATCTATACCCAGGTCCGGTTAATGGGCACAAACAGTAAACCAAAGTCTGGGGCCCAGCTGCCCAGTACAACCTCCACAACTCCCAGCCCTCTGCAGGCCCACAGCCTTTGCCCCCCCCAACACCAGCAGGTGATCATCCCCCACAGGCAGTGGGAGAAAGCCCAGTGGTTTTGACCAACCCCATCACTGTCAGGCTGGCTCTGACTGCAGAGGTTTGAAGCTGTGCTGTAGAGCTCCTGGCCCTCGCTAGCACGGTTAACAGAGACATCCGCCTGTGCCCCTTTCCTGGGGCACATGCTCGGTACTGGAGTGCATCCCTGACTCTCTTTATCATCCCACCTGCCCTTTGAAACTGGCCTCTGCTAACAGGATTAGCCCTGGGATTAAATCCATTTTACTCACGGCAGGAATCGATGATGATGTTTTTAACTCCCCCTCATGTAGCTTACCTGTTTAAGGCAGCTGCTAGCAGTGGGCTGGCCATTGACTCTGTGGTCCAGCCACAGCCACTGTTTTCTGGTGGTGAGGGCTCAGGTAAAACGTATAATGCCTAATACTGGGGCTCAGGTGTTTTCTGTTGGGAGCCAGTACCAGGATTTACGGTACAGCTAGAGGTGCCAGCTAATAGTCTGACACTGGATAGCTCCCATCTCAGCCACACAGTGTATTAAAGCAGCCTACTCCCCTTAGTTAAACAAACAAAGCCCAAAGGAGCCCTTAGAAAAGTGCTACAGTAGGAGCCGAGATGTTAACCACAGAGTCTGGGACAAATTCCAACTCTGGCAATGACATTCTAGCTAAATTCTCCTAGCCCAGGGCAGGGAGTAAGGGGAGCTGGGGTCTGTTCCCAGCTCAGCCACTGACCGTCTGTGTAACCTTGTCAAATGACAGCCTCTCAGCTGTAAAACAGGGATACTGACACCAGGATCTGCCTCATGGGGATGGAGTGAGGCTAAGCTCAGTAGTGTTCATAAGGTGCTTTGAGATCCCCTTATAGCAAACAAAATAAGGCTGTATTTGGATGTTTATAAGTCAAAGGCAGGCTATGTGAATGTAGATAGTTCAATATGGCTGTGAATATAGTCTTGTTCTTCACTCCCTGCCCTAAAATGTTGTGTATTGTTGCTGCCTTCAATTCCAGAGGTGGCTGTATTGCAGTGGTAGGTGAAGTGATCCCTTCCCTGTCTCACAGAGACATTGCAAAGCTTACTAAGATCACCTTTGTAAAGTGCTTTGAGATCCTTTGATGAAAGATGCTGAAGAATGGCGAAGTGGTACCGCAGTGTCTGCAGGCCCCATTGTACTGAGCCGTGCACGTGCCCACAGTCAGACACTCCCTGCCCTGAAGAGCTGCCCAGTGTGTGGGTATGAAAGGCGGGCTGGAGCTTTGTTGTCTTGCTCGTGTATCTTAGCACCTGGTAAAGCATGCATTTGACTTGTAGAACCGAGCCACTATGAAAAACAAGTCAAGACTCCAGATCTCTCGTCACAAGCCCATCACCATCATCAATGAGAAGGTACGTGTTCTGTCTGCCTAGCGCAGGGTCACTCAGATGACACACTCAGTGCAGTTTTCTATTGGACATTCCTATGGCTGAGGAGAATGGTGACATCCCCTCAATTAGCAATGAAGACTGACCACTCGATGCCAATAACAGTGGGACACACCACAGTGGAATTGCCCTGTCTAGGAACTGCTCCAAGGGCTTTCAAGATCTGGACTGGGCTGGACTCAGGCCTCTTTCATTGACTAGGATATGTGCATGTTTCAGGTACCACTGTGGTCTACATATGATAGATCCAAAGAGCTCAGCACCCCATGTGCACTTATTCTGCTGCCTAAATGGAACCTGAGCTTATTTGGAAATTTGGCCCTTTGGGCCTGATCCAAACCCCACGGACATCAATGGGGTTTGGATCAAACCTATAGGAATGTGTCTTTTCTAGCTGATGAGGTGTGGTCCCAACTTGAGTAGCCTAACACCAGTTAAAATCCTAGTGAAGACCAGGCAGTTGGTAGTTTTTCACATATTAGTGGGTTGAGTTAAAGACTATGGAAAATCCTAGATCTAGTACTAGGATTTTACCTCATGTTAGTTACCGTGTGTTAGTTAACTTGAGCTAAGAACACACCTTGTTTCTGAGTGAAGGCAAAGCCTTAGCGTCTGATTTTCAGTGGTGCTGAGCCCATAACTCCAGTTAGGGTCAAAGGGTGCCTTGGGTCAGGCCTATGCTGTCCAGAATAGCCTCCATTGCTACGCTCATGGATAAAACTACGAAGGTGGCGATTAGCCCTTGCCTTGCTTGGAACAGACTCATCAGCCGGGCTTAGAAAGAACATGGGTCTGGCTGGAGAATCTTGCCCGCATGCTCGGGGTTCTGCTGATCGCCATATTTGGGGTCGGGAAGGAATTTTCCTCCAGGGTAGATTGGCAGAGGCCCTGGAGGTTTTTCGCCTTCCTCCGCAGCATGGGGCAGGGGTCGCTTGCTGGAGGATTCTCTGAGACTTGAAGTCTTTAAATCATGATTTGGGGACTTCAACAGCTGAGTCAAGGGAGAGAATTATTCCAGGAGTGGGTGGGTCAGCTTTTGTGGCCTGCATCATGCGGGAGGTCAGACTAGATGATCATAATGGTCCCTTCTGACCTTAAAGTCTATGAGTCTATGAGTCTATGCTTCCTCCAGGCTCGATTATTGTACAGGTGGTCAGAGCACTCTGGGTTCCGCCTGCTTTCCTCCAAAGCATGCATCCATCGCTGGCCACTGTCAGCAACAGGCTGCCTGCCTGGATGGCTCACTGATCTGGTCTGGGATGGCAGTGCCTAGGATGCTCTTCTTTGTGTGGTTTAGCTTCCCCATTCCATCCAGCTGCATGCCGTGTCCCCAGTTGCTGCTATTTGTTGTACCCACTGGATACAACATTACTCAGGAAGCCAGGAGAGGGGGTGGAGAGCTCTCTACCAGGTGCTCCTAGGAGACAGCATATATCAGCCTCATGACACGTTCACCCTCGTGTGACCTGGGGCCTGCAATTCAGCTGCTGTGCCTGAACTGAGGAATCCTCATTTGTCAGCCAAGCAGTCCTGGGCTAGAGGGTGGGGGCGACGGGATGAGGAATAATGGTGACCAGCCAGGTCAGTCCTGTCAAATAGGAGTCTTGCCATTAACAGCAAGGACCTCTGCATCAGGACCACAGTGGATTAGTTTGTACTGCAACCATTTTGCTTCACTAGAAACAGAGTTACGCCATATCTGGGTCTCACACAGTTTCTACCAGGTAAGAATCTATAAACCACAAGTCGAAAAAGACTTGGATTCATTTTAAATGGAAGGGATGTTATCAAACAGTGGGACTTCAGAGCTGATCAAGGGTTTAAAGACAGTACCAAGTAGGGAGAGGAATTACTTAGGCAGGAACACGAAGTAATGAGATGAAATTAAGAAAGAGAATATCTAGGCTGCATATCGGAGAAACCTTCCTGGCAGTGAGCTGCATTAGACGGTGGACTTGTCTCCTTGGGGAAGTACTGAAAGCCTCATTGCTAGGTTGCGGGTCTAGCACTGGAAATGTCCTGTAGGGACCAATCCTGCATTGGCCGGGAGATGAGCTGATCTCTTTGATCCCAGCATTCTGACATGAAATGAGCCATCTGCATCTCCAGAGATGACTCTACACACACACAGCACTAAGAATCCATTTCATAATTGATGCAACAATCAATATCTAAGCATTTTTTCAATGAAACTCTTCCTATGGGATACTTCTCTGTTCTGCTCCTAGAGTCTGTTGAAAAGTGGGGAAACCCATCTTCCTTTAGTAAGTAAAGAGCCCAGGCACCATCCTGCCAACTGAGCATTAGTGTCACACACAGGCTGGGGCTGGAGTACAAGAACAGCCTGTCTTTGCAGCATGGCTTTCACGCTCAGCACACTGAGCAAGGGCCCCTACCTCCTCCAAACGGGGCTGCCTGAGCAAGGGAAGGTGTAAATCCAAGCTTGGGCAGAGGGAGTTTGTGGAGTGGGGGAGAGCGTCTGTGGAAACTGGAGAATAAAGATCATTAGGGCCTGGCCAGAGGTGGGGTCTGTTTAGAGCAGTGGTCCCCAAACTGTGGGACATACTTCCTCTCACCCCCAAGAGGGCACAGAGGAACGTTTAGAGGGGCAAGCCCCCACGGGGGGGGGGCAGGGAGGGAGCGCCCAGCTGCCCCGCCCCCATCCGCAGCTCTGCCCTCATTCCCTCTGCCCCCTAGGCCAGCTCCACCTCTAGCCCCAGCTCCCCCCACATCCCCAATTCTGCCCCCAGCTCCGTCCAAGCTCCTCTGCTGAGCCAACTGTGCAGTAGTGTGTGTGTGTATGGGGGGGCGTGGACAGATTCCATGACTGGTAAGGGGAGGGTGCGACAGGAAAAGTTTGGGCACCACTGCCTTCGAGATTGCTGTGCCGACAGCTGCTGTTTAAGGCTCTTCACATTTCCAGGGCCACCTCCCACACTAAGGGGAAATTCCCCTGAAGAATTTCCCTCCTCCAGGGAATGCAGATGGCTGAGCTGGTGGAGCCGCATGCAAAACTGCCACCCTCTCTCCCTGCAGTCTGCCTTTGCAGGATTGCAACCCAATAATATTCACAGCCTGGGCTGTGTGTCTCTCACTCCCCTCCCTTCTAGCCATGAACAAAGAGAGAAGGCTTAGCAGCAGAAGGGCCAGACCAGCTGGGCAGGGTTGTGCCCCATCGTGTTCCATATGTGCTGAAATATCTAGGCATATTGGGGTGGAATGTAAAGTACAGTTCCAGTTTTAACTCTCCCATTCTTTGCTAACTTGAAGTTATACTCCTGCATTTTCAAAGAGCTGCACTGGGTACATCGATACTGCAGCTGGGAGCATGCGTCTCTGCTCGGACACAGACGCGATTTGCTCAAGCTTGCGTACTAAACGTAACAGCGTAGTTGGGGGTACCACAGGCAGTGGCTCAGGCTAACTGTCTGAGTGCACAGCCGGGATTCCGGGTGGATTTGTCCTCAGGTGGCTAGCCCAAGTCTCCCCCTGGGCTAGCCATGGCTACACGGCTATTTTTTGCATGCTAGCTTGAGCAGAGCATCTGCCTAGCCTCCCCAAGTAGGGAAGCATGCTCCCAGCTGCAGTGTAGACATACCCACGGGTGTTTAGCAAAACCTCTAGATTTTCAAAGCTTAATGCGTGTGAACAAGTCTTCGAAAATTTGGCTCATAATGGTCTGAGATATGATGCCTTCCCCTGTGTTCCTAGCCAGGGCCAAAGTACAGCCAGTGACTGAAGAATCCATCTCAGGCTTTATGAGACCCAACATATGTTGGGACAGGACTTGGGCAGTCAGCATTGGGTAGAAGTCCTACTAGAGCGGATAGGTTCACAGAACTTCCCCATCTACCATAATAGTATAGTGGCTGCACTCAATATGGTTAAAACATGGTTTGATATTCCAGTGCAGACCTAACCAGATTTTAACCATGTGTCCGAATTGGGCAAAAGCCCTGGATATATCTTAGCATTTACCTATGCTGGGGAACCAGAACCACATTTTGTGTTGTGGGGATGACTGTATTGTGAGCCAGCACACTGACCCAGTTCCGTTAATGTGCTTGTGTGGGTTAATTCGAGACTCCCAGTAATTGGAGTCAACTCTTATTGACTTGACTGGAAGTTGACTGGTTAAACCCCAGGTAGCTCTTTGAAAATGTAGAGATTCATATTGTTGGAACAGAATTTATTGTGGTTCAATTGTAACACACACACACACACACACACGTGTGTGTGTGTGTTTGTACAGGGTCTAAAACAATGGGGCCCCAATCCTAAGGGCGCTGGACATGACTGTAATACAAATAAATTAATTAAATTATATTATAAAGTTGGGTCTTTGTTACAGATTCCAGTCTCGTCTGCAATACCGAAAGAGAAATTCTCTTGTGGCAGAGCAGAAGAGCTACTAAGAGAATATTTACCAACCAAACTTGCCAACGTTACTTATGAGCCTGCAAAATGTGCCAGCCTCACTATTGCTTTAAGTGAAGAAATAAAACACTTGGTCAAGCAAGTCACTCCTCCTCGGTATAAGTTAGTTGTCAACGTCACCATTGGAAACAAAAGCAAAGATGAGACTGTGGATATAGTGGTGACTAGCCAGTGTCTGTGGGACCCTCATTCAGATAACTTCACATCCTCCCAGTACGTGAATGAGACACTTTTTTGTGTTGTTTTGGTACATGCTGTTTATTTCGAGTAACAATCCAAATACATCTCCTTCGCATAGGAAGAGCTTAGGTATGTTACTAGCTACAAGTAAAGCGAGACGCTGAGACACGGGTGTTTGATGACAAACTTGGAACTGTGCCATAGCTACAGCATACACAGTATGCAGAAACTCTAAAACAGAATAAAAATGCTAATTAACAGATGAATTTAAAGATGTGGAGAGAGACTATGTGCACCGTACATCACGTATACACTTATGTGCGCAAGATGCCTTGTCATATCCGTAACAATACCTGGCTCTTACATAGTGCTTTTCACCGGTCTGTCTCAAAGTGCTTTACAAAGCGAAGTACATATCATTCTATCACTGGATGTACTTTTACTAACAACTATTGTTTTCCATTAATAATGTTTTAAAATGGAAATTATGATACCCAATACTTTTATTTCTGAGATCAACCATCTCCTCCAGTCTGTTACATCTGGCTGAGCCTGGGTCTGCATGGAACTCACAGGCAGTTTGGACTTGTTGCTAAAGAATCCCAGGGACAACTCCTAGCCTGCACCTGCCAGATGTTCTGCCTCTGGCAGAACAAATTCAGCAGCTCCACTCTCTCCTGCCCTTGATTCAGCAAGGCACTTAAGCCTGTGCCTAACTTTCAGCATGTGAATAATCCCATTGATTTTGTGTACTTAATGGTCAGCAAGTGTTTAAGTACCTTGCTTGAATTGGGGCTTTTGTTGTTTTCTACTTTATTTTGTATTTCTTTTAGGGGGAGGGGTGGTAGTGAGGAATTTTATTGAATAGATTGTGTTTTCTTCATTCCTTCATCTCCTCTGGGGTAACATAGCTGCTTTGAGGCTTTGTAACCAGGGCCGGCTCCAGGCACCAGCACAGGAAGCAGGTGCTCGGGGCGGCCAATGGAAAGGGGCGGCACATCCGGGTCTTCGGCGGCGGGTCCCCCGGTCCCTCTTGGAGGGAAGGACCGGCTGCCGAATTGCCGCCGAAGAATGAAGCGGCGCGGTAGAGCTGCTGCCGAAGTGCCGCCGATCGCGGCTTTTTCTTTTTTTTTTTTTTCTTCGCTGCTTGGGGTGGCAAAAAGCTGGAACCGGCCCTGTTTGTACTCTGGAACAGCTAGTAAGGTGCAGCCCTGCAGGCCTCTATGCACTGCCCCTTCCTCCCCCCACAATGCTAGAGCAGAACAGCCCCGTGGAAAATCCAAACATTATTCCAGATATGAGGCAGTGTTCCTGGGAAGTTCAGAAAGTCAGTTCTGGCAGCCCTCTGCCTATGGAAAAGTCAGGCAGTCACCATGAAACAGCTTTTCTAACTTGAAAATAGCTTCAGTTTCATAAACAATAGAGACTATAAAATGCTTGGGAGCAGGTAAAGCAAATAACCATCATCCCTAAGAAACTGAGGTTTAACAACAGCTAGAACATCATGCACACACTTTCTCAAATAGATTTTTAGGATACATTTTTATTCTCCACGTGAAGTGTTGTACACAAATGATAAAGGATTTTACATTTTTGGGGTACACCGGGCAAACCCATACCAGTGCATCAACACATCATGGGGCAAGGCTTCATAAATGCCCAGTGGCCAGAAGTATTAGGGTATGTCTAACTGCATTGTAAACCCGGGTCTGCGGGACCCGGGCTCATGGACTCGGTGTTCCCAAGCCTGTGTTTGAGCATCCACACTGCTATGTAAACCTGGCTTTACAAGTGCTGGATCCAGGTCTCACAGCCGTGTTAACGCATCAATGCTATTACGCTATGGAGACCTTCTGACTTGGATCTGTGGTTTGACCTGTGTTCACGCTGCAAAAGGAGAGGGCTTGGACTGGAGTCACAGCAGGAGTCGGGCTCTGACCCACTGCCCTATTAGGGCCCTAGGACCTGCGTCCTGAGTGCTTGCTGACCTAAATCAGACTGATTTGGAATGGGGGCTTGTAATAGGGTGCTGGACAAAAGGCACTGACTCAGCCCCTGTTAGCTCAGAGCCTGCTAGCTCAGCTCCCAGTAAGGGGAAGAGATTGGAGCTGACAGGCTGTGGCTGATTAAAGCCCTAAAGGAGAGACACCTGTGCGCTTGATGAGGGAAGGCCTATAAAGCTAGCAGGAAGGAAGTAGAAGGGGAGGAACAGGAAAGTGAGGACCTGTTGCTCCCAGCTAGCTGTAAAAGCAAGCTGTTCCCCAAGGGGTTACCTGCCTGACAGCAAACTGTATAAAGCTGTATATACGTGGTGGTGGGAAAATACAAGGAAATAAAAGGGCACTGGTGATTGAAAGAGTGGTCTCTCACGAATTTGTGCCACGAGCAATGAAGGGTACGTCTACAGGGCTCAGGTTCAAACCTGCGTCAAAGCCTGGTCTTTTGTGCAGTGTAGACATACATTTAAAGTCCCTTATGGCAATAACCTCTGGATTAAGAGTTCCCAATAGTGCAGTGACATGGTAGACCCAAATGGCTTTCAGGGTGTTAGTACCGTGACAACGATGCACAGATCAGAGCAGTTACTTACCTTCTCCTTTTTAATTACAAAATGAAAGTGATGACACAAAAAAATGAGATAAAAGTAATGCTAAATGTCTCTTTCATGAAATTCTGAGTTACTGCTTCCACCTTCATTCTCCTCTTTCCTAGCTGTGCCACGTTATTGTCAGCTAGCCTATAGGGATTTTTAAAATAATATATTAAGAATTATCTTAAAGACACTGTATACAATATTTTATACAAAAGCATATGAAAATATATGCACGAGAAACCCAAACAGGTCAAAGGACAAGTTCAAATTGATGTTTGCATAGGAAACAGCAAACAGGTGCATGCTTGGTCTGCATTTCTTTTCAGAGGAAGCCGGTCTGGAACACACTGCTAAAATACAAAATAGGAATCCTCTTTGAGTCCGATGGCTTTCAGACATCTAGTCATATCTTCATTAAATGCTACCGAGCCACAAATCAGCACAAATGGCTTTCTTCTACAGGAATTTATCATTTTCTTAATCAAGTTCTCAGTTATATGGCCAGTGTGTGTGTTTTCTTGATAGCTCCAAGGAAGTTTTTCCAGGGAAGATTCCTGGAAAGGCAAAAAGTTTACACTGTATCAAGTTATTTTAGAAAAAAAGGATGATTAACACTTTGAAGAGTTAATGCTTAGACCAAACATCTGACCTCCCTTGACAGAGTTTCATCTGAAAGTTTACCCTTCAGGAATCCATCTAGGTGGTTTCTTCCAGGTCAATAATTGATGTAAATGAACCACTGCAACAGCTGTGCTTTTCCGGGACAATGAAAATCACAAAGCCCAGGATGAATCAGGTGTGAGCTGGGAACAAAGCATTCTCTGTCAAGGGGATCTGGCTGTGGAACAATCTTTCAGAGGAGATTGGGCAAATCCAGAATCTGACCATTTTTAGGAAATGTTGCAAAACATTCCTCTTTGAGACAGCCTTCCCATCAGAAGTGACACTTACAATATGAAGACCTCCCTCTATTCCCAACCCCCTAATAACACCCCTCTGCAAAAATAAAACCCTACCCCAAGCAGAGTTTTGACCCTAAAAAGGGAGAAATGCCAGACATTCCATGAAGTCCACTAGGGCCTTTGCCATTGTTAGTGATTTTATGTGGAAGGTGCTCACATACTACCATGATGGGCAGCAGTATAAAACTGATTGATAAGTAGACAGATAGAATTATAAAAAGGAAGCTGTACAACTTGGTGTAAGATTAAAACAAACCTCTTATGAGAGGAAATCACAATGAGACAAGATAAGAGAAAAAAACGTATGGACTGCCATGTACTGATTAGTGTCAAACAGGCACCACTGCCCTGTACAGGATGAAATTTCAAGCCCTCCTCAATGTTTGTGACCATCTTATTCTTTGATGGCAAAAGGGTTTTTAGGAGCAGAAGGTCATGAGTTCTATTCCCCATTGCCCATACTGGCCAAATGAGGGATGCAAAAAATGATTCATGCAGGAAACGTAAAATGCTGTGTGATTCATACTGTTAGCATAAACAACTTTCTATAACCTGAGTGCAATGAATCTTTATTTCTGATGTAAATAATTTTCAACAATAAAAGTGAGGGAACACCAGATTTGTGTGGAACATACGTAAATTTGAGACTAAACGAGCAACATCCCTGAAAATGAAGGCTACTTCAGAGGTAGGCCCGTGTCCATGAATTCGGTATAGTTAGCAACTTTAAGTATGTGGCCCCAACATTTTTACACATAGACACGACATTGGCTTCATCAGAGGACTCCAGTGTGAGATAAGTTGATGAGAAGCTGGGTGGATACATGCTGCAAGGTGAGACACCAAGCTGGCAGTGAACATTTGTGATGATTGAAACTAGCTAATCAACGTGAGCAGCAAATGAAAGCAGCTAACAAATCAATGCATGGGTGCTGAAAAAGGAAAACCCTTTGGGTGCAGTTTGTTTATTGTGAGTTTCACAGAGAGCTGAGAGTTTTATAAATACAACTTTTCATATGCAGCAATGATCAATTTGGAGGGGGGGAAATATTCCATGGCGGACACAGTTCAATGGGACTTTCCTAACAGAACCTCTGTCAAGACAGGTCAACTAGTGAGTGATACAGTTGAAAGTCTGCTAGTTAGTATGAACAGGATTTAAGAACATGTTCTCAGACAGATGCTACTGGATCAACACATGCCGTTGGTCACTGGTAAGCAATCAACTTAAATAACACTGAGGCAAAAGCAGAGAAGGCAGAGAGTTGTTCATCACAGAGAGCCCAGGGATGAGTGTATCTATATCAGAATGTTACCTGGCTAAGGACGTAACATGTTCTGACGTTCCAGTATCGAGACTGATCTTGGAGAAGAGGTTTCAAGTAAATATTTTCAAAAGTCCGGAAGCAACCAACCAGGGTTATAAAGGTTTCATCATCTTCATTTTCTGTTATGTACTGGAGAATGGGGAGCATTGGTGCTGTGCCAGTTCCAGAGGCAAGCATAAGAAGTTCTCCATACTAGAAATTAAGTGGAGGATTTTGAATGGATTATAGTAATTGGAAATGGAAAAACCTATTAGATGACTCCATTTCTCTGAAAGGGTGCTATAGCAGGCCTATAATATCTGATATGTTCTCTAATGGGGGATTGTGTCAGGTACATTTACACACAACATTTAGTTTTTTCAAAGGCAAGATTTTACAAAACTTGGGGGGAGGGATAGCTCAGTGGTTTGAGCATTGGCCTGCTAAACCCAGGGTTGTGAGTTCAATCCTTGGGGGGGGGCCACTTAGGGATCTGGGGCAAAATCAGTACTTGGTCCTGCTAGTGAAGGCAGGGGGCTGGACTCGATGACCTTTCAAGGTCCCTTCCAGGTCTAGGAGATAGGATATCTCCATTAATTTATTTTATTTATTTATTTATTTATTTAACGGAAACTTTTTCATGATTAAAAAAAACAAAAACAAATGAAAACCATTTTTTCTTGGATATAAACATACCCCTGAGTTTTAAGCTTGATTTCAGCTAAAACATGCTGAGTCTCAGTTCAGTGCCCCCACTGCTGACACCCCTTGTCAGCAGTGGTTTATATTTCCATTGTAGACAAGCCCTCAGATAAAGATGAAAGCACTCAAATCTCATGCTGTAGAGCGTAATTTGGACAGCTGCAGGAAGGAACTCTTTCCTTCTCTGTACAATTGCTTGGTGCATTATGGAAGTTCTCTACCTTCTTCAGCAGCAGTGGACATTACAAATAAATAATAGTAATACTTAGAATTTTGATCCACAGAGCTCAAAGCACATACAAAAGGTGGGTGAGCGTTATAATCCCCATTTTATAGATTAGGAAGTTCAGGCCTGGGGAGGGCTTGATTTTCAGAAGAGCTGAAGGATCTCAGCTACTTGCCCAAGTTCACACAGCATGTCAGGAGAACCCTGGTCTCCTGATTCCCAGTTCGGTGCCCTGCCCACAGGACCACCCTGCCTCCTTTAGCTATGGCTAGGGACTTGATATCAGACTGGATGAACTACCAGGTCAGAATTGATATGGCAAATCCTATGACTCCATACAAAATCAGATGAAGTGCTCACAGCCAAATCAATCACTTTTATTCAAGAGTTGGATTGAGGACAGCTGAGCTGTATCCCAACAGAAAAGTTAGTGGCCTGTGGAAATCAAAGCCCAAAGTTCCATTAGACTGAGAATAGATTTGCAAAATAAAGGGCCCACTCCAACTCCTATTGACTTCAGTGGAAGTTGGATCTGATCTTTTATGAACAAATCTACCTTAAGTGCTATGAAACTTTCAGCTTCCTTTTATACAGGCCACTGATTTATACAGCATACTAATTCTTTGGGACTGCCATCAGTGGGAGCCAGGGGTGCTTAGCACCGCTCAAATTCAGGCCCTACATGTGCCCAGGCTACCAGTAAGGCTGGTTCCCCGTGGTACAGTTTGCAAAACCTATTCTAACTTATGAATTGGTAAATTAGCTGAGCAGGCTGGAAGCAGGGCACAGAGATGGTGTTTTGGGACTATTTCGCGATATATTGTGAATGAGCTATTTAAATTGCTGAGCCATATCCACTTTTAAAATACGATCAGTTTTGATGTATTTTGGTAACAAATTACTCTGAACGCAAAAATAAAAGGGAATTTTATTTTTGGGTGTTAGCAGAACTCATAAAATACCCTCCATCTATTATTATTATTCATAAATAATACAAATAATTATAAACAGTTTGAGCTTCTATGGTGACTTTCACCCAAGGGTCAGAACGTGCTTTATGAGCTGTATTTACCAGGGCTTTGGAGCAGAGTCCGGAGCTGGAGCGCAGAGCAACTCCGGAGCAGTGGAGCTGCAGGTTTTTGCCTGGAGCTGGAGCACAGCTCCAAAGCCCTGGATTCACCCTCTGTTGGGATGCAGTCACTTCTGGCAATGCAGCACAAACTTGATCACGAGTTCTGAAGAAGGGGAAGTGAAGAATAACTTTTCCAACTGAAACAGCAGGGGGGATTTCAGCAGGCAGAATGTAATTGCTCTACCTGGAATTTGGCCAGGTCCCTGGGGTTTTCACACTCCTACGTTGCAAGTGCCATGCGATCTCTAACAACCAGAGCCACAATTCTACATCTCATCCAAAAGGTGGGGATTAAGTAACAGTCCCTACGTTTGTGGGAAATCTCTCCAAAATTTGATATAGTCATTTTTGCTGTGAGTTTGGCACCCATACGTGGGATCACTATTTGCAGCATCATGGACATAAGACTGCACACCTCACTGAAGTCTGCATAATCTGATGATACCACATGGGCCAAATAAATATATCAAATGGGTGAGATCTGGCCCTGGGACTAGGAGTTTGATACCTCTGCTCTGGTCAAACTTGGTCTTGAAACATCAATGTAGTTCAAAGTGATGCAAAACAAATTTGCACGCATTTTTGGTGATAACTCTGACCAGTTTTCTTCGTTTCAACACTAATGAAATGGATGCTCAGCAACAGTTGCTAGTGTTTTATAATCTCCCCCACTCCTCCCATTCCTCTCCCTCCTTACATATTTTGCATTCTAACAAGATCCATTTACTCCAATCGACTTCAAATGCTGTAGCACTGTACAGTAAATGTGTGAATCCTTCAAATAATCAAAATAGTAATCTAATTGACACTCTCCCTTTGGTACATTACACAAAGTGAGCTACTATGTGCTGAGCCATTCTGTATCTATTATATAACTAACCTGATTAGGGCTATATGGGAAGCCTCCAAATGGCCCTCGCCAAAAGACTGTGTCTCCTTCAATCCAGGATTTTATATATTGTGACATTAGCCCAGCCTTGTAGCACTATTAAAAAAAATCACACAAAAGGAAAAAATAATTATACTTTGTTGGAAAATTTCCCAGCTTAACGTTAATTACAAAATTATCTCTGTTTAAAACAAAAGGGGGGAAAACATTTCAGGGATTTAAAAAATGACTGTTCTATTTGCAAAATAATATAAACTTGTAACAGTAACAAAAACATTTAACTGAAATGATACTGGATCAAATCCAGCTTGAATAGAATGTAAACACAATACACACTTATGAAGCCTAGGCTTTCTGAAGCTAGGAAAGCCTATCAGAACTCTCATTTACAAAGCACACAAAGAAGAACTCCTTACAGTCAAAAGCACAGCAAGCTTTCTTGTGTTCTCCAGAGCTCAGAACACGGCCATGTAGCACAATTATTAAATGACTGGGAGCTGGAAGTGCATTCTGGGTATTGATATTCAAATGAACACCACATATTTTACACTTTGTTTCAGATCTCCCAGATGCTACAATGGCACAGCAAGTAACTACTGAACCGGAGTCAGATTTCCCATCTGAAATGTTAAAATGGGTATTTTTAGTACAGATCATCTGAATGTGAAGGGATGCTCTGAGATTTTACAAAAATGTGGACATGGACCTCACTAAAAACGGCATTCACAAAAACTGCTCTTCTTCCTAACAGGTACAAAACCACTGTGAAAACACTGTTAGAGACTTCTGCATAAAGACTTCATGTGTTACTGGCAGGAGTCATAGCTTGCCTGCAATAGAGGAGGACACAAAGGGAAATGCTAAAACCCTGGGATCATCCAGTTAGTCCTGTTACCATCCCTAATGGCATCCATGCTGTAAGATACTATCAGAGACATTTTCCATTCAACGGGCCTTGCATCTTGGGTAGTCATTTAACACCTATGCTGAGTGGGTAGAAAAGGTATCATATCAGAATGGTTTGTATGGTAAGCATCTTACACTCACCTTCCACAAGCATAAATGGCAATGCAAGGTATAAGGCAGTAGCAAATTAGCAGTTACTTCATGTTGCCTACACAGCACTGGGCGAAAAGCATTTGGAACTGAAACACTCTCCACATCCAAATATCCCCCCTCAATCTAAATGAGAAATGACTGAACTGGTTTACAATTAATTTTTGTAAATAAAAAAAAATATCTCCTGGGATGAAAACTTCTACACTCAGTTTTATACCAAAAGAAACCATAACATTATAAAATCACTCAAAAGAAGGTGTAAGAGTACGGCTTGGCACTTAAGGACTAGAGGCCTAGGGCTAGCCAACTCTGATTACTGAAGGAACTGCTCTAGCCCACCTATGCTGTGGGACCTGAGGGAGACAGCAGATTCCCCTATCAGGGGCAGCAGGAAGCTGTGGTAGAGAGTGAGGAAAGGTTCTTGCAGGGAACATGAGAACTCAGAGCCAGTAGGATGAACTCCAGCCAAGTAAAGCATGGGAGTGACTGTTAAATTAGGACCCAGCTCTGGAAAGGAGGAATGGGGACTTTCTACTGAAGGGGAGAGAGATATTGAATGGGGGTTGGGGCCTGGAGGGAAATGTGTTTCTGAGGATTGACTAAATTGGACCCCAGAAGGGGACTGTTTTAAGTACTGTGGACTGTGCAGTTCTTAAGGGGAAGAAGGGGAAACAGAGTGACCCTAGGCCACAAGGGGGGGTGCTCAGAAGGTGGCTGTCCCTGTTACAGAGGGTTATGCATGGTAAATAGCAACTCCCTCACTCTAAACTGTAGTATCACAAACGTGATAGTGTAACAATAGGAAACAGAGGGGTTTGAACAGTACGTGGATTGCACAGTAATAATAATATAGTACTTCCCAAAATTGCCTGAATAGTGTGAAATACACTACAACCTACACAGCAAGTTATAAAAATGGGTACTTTCTGAGGAGGTGTTGCAGGCCTTTTATTACTGCCAGAGAATCATTATAGTTCCCTTTGGGATGAAAGGTTCTATATAAAGGAAAGGTATTATTACAATCATTACTATTATTATTGAAACGCAAAACCTGTGTAATAAGCGAGTATACATGAAATTTCACAGTCAACTTATAAATGTATCCTATTAATGCAGCTCAAATGTAGCACTTTTCCCCGATTGCCACAACAGTGAAATAACCCACCCATAAAAGTCTTTTATCAGAGTTACACACATTTCTAAAGGACTACATTCTATCATACAAATGAATAATAAATCCTCAAAAGTATAAACTCCTGAGAGACAGGCAGAGGCTAAGAGGTTGTACTCTAATCTGCCTGGAAGCTGTAGCTGTCAGAATTTTACACGTGGAGTAAAATCCATCTTCCCCCCAGAAATTAGCAGAGATATGTAAATATGACCAGAAAGATGGAACTGATTTTGATTTCCTACACAAAATAATTATTTTTGCTGACCCTGGTCCTGCAGTCCTTATTCAGGCAAAACTTCCATCTAAGTCGAGGGGTAAAATCTCGGCCCTGTTGAAGTCAATTGGAGCTTTGCCATTAGCTTCAATAGGGCCAGGATTTCACCCCAAACGGGTCTCAGTATCAGTTTCTAAATGTGAAGACCACAAAACAGATGCTTTATGGTTCTACATATTTTGCAGCAAAATGAACAGTTTCCCTGAAAAGTGTCCTTAAAGCAACAACCCCATCAACAAGCCTAATTGCTGAAGGTTGCTCTTGTGATAAAGGCACTCTCCAGGGATGCAGGAGAGCTGTTTCATTTCCTGCTGTACCACAAACTTTCAAAATCCTCCATTGGCATTGCCACTGCACTCACATGACAGACTTTAGGGGTGAAAAGGGACCAGAGGGGCATCATTCCCGCAGGGATTCCATGCACAGGATTTAGAACTAAGCCCTGATCCTATTCCTACCATAGTCAATTGCAAAACTCTGGCCTTGATTTTGTAAGGATCACTTAATAGAGAATATGTTGTAAATAATTTATTTACAAGACACCTTTTCACTTTCAGTTTTGTGTATGTGAAATGACCACTCTTATCAGCAAAGCACAATTGCCCCTAAATAATTACAAAAATGCTCCATGACACGTACTCCTAATTATTATTCTCATTTGCTAAATATTAACAGAGTGAGTTCTGTAGATTCAATGGAAGAAAAACACAGTCCCAAATTGTTTACAATCTTATCAAACTAATATAGACTACCTACTTTTATTAAAACTTCAAAGTATCCTTCAGCGTTTACAGGGCTAACTGGAGTATAAGCTCTCTGAACCTCCAAACCATTCACCATCCCTCTGAGAAGAAAACAAGATGGTACAGGAAACCATTACTGGAATCACTGATTGATACTCTTTAGAGTGATGAGCAAAGGCTATTGTCTGAAATACACAGCAGTCTTTCCTCCCCATGGGTCATCCTTTGCTGAGACAGATGTTCCCTCAATTAGCTAAAGATCCAGGGAGTGAAATAACCTCAGATTTCTCTGCAGACCCTTTACGACACTCTTTAGTATTCCTCCAATTCTCTAGGCAATGGCACCAGCTATGTTGCGCTTGTTGTCTGGGGAAGCTAACCAGGCAAAGGAGTGTAACAGACGTTTTGTGTGGAGCAGATGAATGTGCAGTATTGTGAGGAAATGCTATATTGGTAAATTTGAACTGTTTGGGCTAGAGGCTGTTTTTCACTGTTTGTACAGCATCCAGTAAACGTATAATAATAACTGATATATATCAATGGTGCCTATAGTCTGACCTTCTTCTGTATCTGACAGTGGTCACCATGAGAAACTAGCACAGATGACAGCTCCTCCCACATGGCCCCTTTTTGGCAAATACTATGCCAGGGGAGGGAATGTTTTTCCTGACCTCAGCTGGCAATCAGCCACAAAGCACATGGACTTTGGATACAATATTGCACGGTGCTTAGCCACCCCAAGCTACAGGGCCTAACATTGAACTCCTGATTTCGTAGTTTGCCTTCATGCCACCACATTGATAAAAATCGTGTGCTGAAACAACTACTTTTTCTCTTTTTCCTTCTGTTAATTGCTCTTCTTAGCCACACTTAGTTCTCTTTTCCCCACCACCAACACAAAGGTAATGTTGGGAAAAAATGAAGCTATGGAGTGGGCTTTCACTGTAAAATTAACAAACTTAAACTCATGAGTTCTTTCAACTGTATCATTACAGAAGCACAGAAATTACGATTTACTTGGTATGAAATCTTTGTATATTGACAAACTGCATATTAAGTCACGTAATGTAGCCCATTTAACTAGAGACAAGTACAGTACCTTAACACAATATGTTGTCCTAAACTCAATCCCAGGCTGCTATTTCCTGGCAGCTCAAATTTATACTGGTAGGTGTCCTCTGTTAGCTGTTCCACAGAGCTTATCTTGAAAGCAGTAAATGTATCTGGATTTAATTCTGAATTACTACTCTGCAAGAACAACAATAAGCAATTACTGGGGTAGGCAGCATCCTTTATTTCACTTTTATTTTTAAAAAAACTTGTGTGTGAATTTAGTGCTGGTGAAACTTAGGACCCCAGAAAAATGTGCCTTGAAAACTCTAGGGACAAGCACAGATTTGGGGTCTCTCTGCTGGTTTGTTTTTTTGCAGTGTTTTTTTCAAAATCTAAGATGTCATTTAAAAAAAAAAAGTTAGATTCCAGATCCTATGACCACAAAGAAAACCTTCTAAACATGACTCAGTGCAATGCTGTCTTCCTGAGGGTACAGAGAGAGTTCAGTAGAAACAGCTCTAAGAGAGCGTAACATCCTAATGGGGACTTAACGCTGAACTCTAATGACCATTTTAAAAACCAACACTGTTAATTATTTCACTGCTGATTATGTTAGTAGAAACATCCTGCTTTACCAGCATGGTTGGATTTATTTGAAAGGGCATTTGACAGGAATAAAACTATGTTTTGAAGAGGCAAATAATTGACTGCTGTGTCAAATGTTAATTTTTTATCCTCAATATATGAACCTGAAAATGAAGGTAAAATAAAAGTTGTCTAAGGTGAACAGTGAACGCTATCATAGCAGAAGAGATGCTGACACTCTCATCTCTGCTTTTTTCCCTAAAAACTTGTTGCCTCAAGCTGTGGAATCACCACCTATTCTACACAGGGCACATCACTGTAATATCCAAACACCTTCAGTAGTGCATTAAGAATGAGAGTAACACCTGTCGTGTGTTTGTTCTCTCATCCTCTCAAGAGAGAAAGACGTATGTGCAGGACTTTTTTTAATATACATGTTGCTATGTATTTATGTTAGGGACAGAAAGACCAAAGAAATGCACCTTGCACTTGGACCGGAAGGTGGTGAAGTTTATGATGGTCCTTCATTTTCTGGGTGAGTTCATTCGAGTTTCAGACTGGCCCTGAAGAAAGTTCTGTCACCTGCACAAACAAGCTTTAGCCTTATTTTATCACCTTCATGTGATGTGAGCTTGCTTAGTGGCACCAGAAACCGCACTTTAATGAGGTACATATTAAAGTGAGAGTTTGGGAATTTCCATTACAGCAGGTACACCTCTACCTCGAGGTAACGCGACCCGATATAACACGAATTCGAATATAACGCGGTAAAGCAGTGCTCCGGGGGGGCGGGGCCACGCACTCCGGTGGATCAAAGCAAGTTCGATATAACGCAGTTTCACCTATAACGCGGTAAGATTTTTTGGCTCCCGAGGACAGCGTTATATCGAGGTAGGGGTGTATTATGGGGGAGGTCTAAATTCCTCTAATAAAAGACCATTATAGATCACCCCACCCTCAGCTACACAGCTATCAAACGCTTACAAACACAAATGTGATAAAAGTACTGACTGATTGGATGCTATGAAGAAGGCCTTTAAAGTCCCTACCTCCTCCTTCTGTTTGGTCAGGAGGCTTCTGTCTTTCTTTGCTTTGGCTTCTTCCCACTGGGCTAGCTCCTTCTGATACACATCATAGACACACGGTTTGCAGCCACTGCCACAGCACTGAGATTGCAAGGGTTCAGTGGGCATAAGAGAGAGCCAGTCATCCTCACTTTCACTCATTACCTACAAAACACAACCCAAGCATCATTCACAGGGCTACATGTTTTAAGAAAGAGGCACACATGAATCTGGTGCTAGCTATCTGCTGCTTTAGAAACATCCATCTCAATATGTTGAAGATTTAATTCAGGAGGCATCCAAACTTTATCTAGCTGAAGATATATTTGGCTAACTTGATACAAGCAATGCTCCATCTTCATTTGAGTGGCTGCAATCCTCTGCTTTAATACAGAATTGTTATACTGCATATGACCAATGGCCCACAAAGTCCAGTATCCTGTCAGTGACTGTGGCCAATACCAGATGATGCAGAGAAAGTTGTAAGAAACCCATGAACAGTTTGGTGAGCGGTTTATGCCCAGCAGAATAAGTGTCTGTATTGCGTATACATTAGACAGGAAAAATAATGTAACCGTGGATGTTCTCAATATTCATATAAGTTGCTATATTTTTTAAATCCTAGACTCAGCCTCAGTGACCAAAGAAGAGCATTGTGACCTAGGATTTATTATCTCTGTGGGCCACACCCCTACATTAAAGATGAATACGTGGTGTGCTCTGGTCCCATCTTTATCTTGCATCTTCTTCTAAATCCCCTCCTTCAATACATCTTTATTAAAGTACTGTATTCAACATATAAAGTAGCATTCTAAAACGTGGCCTGCAGCTGCCCCCGCTTTTAATAGAGAGGTTCAACCTCTGGGAGGCTGGAAGATAAGCGATGCTGGAGAAATACAGGTGGTGGTCAGAGAGAGGAACTTGACAGGGAGCAGTGTTTAGTGAAATCAGTCAAGTGAAGGGCCATTTTGGTGAGCAAGAGAGTTGCTACAGGGTTAGAGATCGAATAAATAGGCGAGGGCAAGTACTGGTAGAATTATCTTTAACTCCCCATCCAAATATCCTTATATCAGACACTCCTAGATCATGTCCTATCAAAAGAAGTCCCAAAACTGACCTCTGTGGAACATCATAACTTTTTAATGCACTGCTAAACTTGATATTATTCTCAATGCTTTGGCATATACCGATGAAGAGTGCTAGATAAGAACTAGATATTATTAATGCTGTATCATTCAAAAATGAAGAAAATTATAAAACCACAAGTGGTAGCGTTGAAGAATACTTAACACCTATAACCATTTTCATTTTCAAGGTGCTTTATGGGCATTAAAACTTATCTTCACACTTGTGACAAACATATTATTATTCTCATTTTACTGATGGAGAAATAGAACACTAAGGCCACCATTTTGAAAAGTGGCCACTGACTTTAGCAGTCTAGCCACAGGGAGCAACATGCTGAGCATCCATAGCAAAGTCAATAGGAGTCGTGGGTGCTCAGCATGTCTGAAAAGTTAGGTCCTAGGTGTCTGTTATCTCAAAATAAGTGGCCATTAAAAAATTAGCCTTTGTGACCTGACCAAGGCCAAAGATTAATCTCAGTTGTTAGCACAGGGCCTACAACTCATGAGAGCTGACTCCTAGCATTGTACTCAGACCGTGCTACCTTCCACCCAAGGAATATTCTTCTTTCACCCAAAGATAGTAAGTTCCTTGGAGCAGGTACTATGCCCCTATCTTTCTGTTGGGAAAGAGCCTAGGACATCAGGGAAGGCAGGTCTCTGCTTTGGTGAGTTTCCAATCTGGACAAACGGAGAGTAGACGAAAGGAACCTGTACAACACAGGAGCAGTGTTTGGGGAGGGCATTCAATATGCCTCTCAGTTCTGTGATTCAGGTACGGCTGTAGTATGATAAAACCATCTTCCCCTTGCAGTCCAGCCCAGCCACGCAACCCCATCATGCTACCAGGCAAAGGCGAGACTGGGAGCCTGCTGCTCCCTGTAGCTACGGGAGGTGGCAGCTAATCATCCCAGTTGGTGGGACCGAGTCAGGGCAGATTGTAGAGCGGCTCTCTTGAAGCCCCAGCTCCCGGAGTCATGGGATTAGGGGAGAAGCTCTGCATTCATGGATGGACAGGTCCAGTCTGTGCCACGGCAGAGACAGGCTTGGAAATGGGGCCCCCAGCTAGGGTTGTCAGGTGTTCAGTTTTTGACCAGAACCCCTGGTCAAAAAGGGACCCTGGCGGCTCCCATCAGCACTGCTGACCAAGCCACTAAAAGTCTGGTCGGCGGCACAGCATGGCTATTGTAGTCTCCCTGCCTGACCTGCCTCCCACGGCTCCCGGAAGTAGCTGGCACGTCCAGCTCCTTGTTGCGGGGCGGCCACTGGGCGAGCGCTGGCTCCGCAGCTCCCACTGTCCGGGAGCCACGGCCCACAGGAGCTGTGGGGGCGGCACCTGCAGGCCACTTCTGGGAGCTGCCTGAGGTAAGCGCCACCTGGCCAGAGCCTGCATCCCGAAACGCTCCCACACCCCAACCCCCTGCCCCAGCCTGGAGCCCCCTCCTGCACCCCAAACCCCTCGGTCCCAGCCTAGAGCCCCTCCTGCACCCCAACCCCCTCGGTCCCAGCCTGGAGCCCCCATCCTGCACCCCAAACCCCTCATCCCTGGCCCCAGCCAGAGCTCTCACCCCCCCACCTCGCCCCAACCCAGAGCCCCCTGCACCCCAAATCCCCAGCCACACCCCAGAGCCTGCATCCCCAGCCGAAGCCCTCACGCCCCTGCCCGGTGAAAGCGAGCGAAGGTGGGGGAGGGCGAGCGATGGGGAAGGAGTGAGCGGAGGGCGGGGCCTGGGGCAGGGGCGGGGCCAGGGTGTTCGGGTTCCCCCGATTAGAACCTTGTCAATCCTGCTGGCGGAGCAGGGCCCAGCGCCCCTCCGCTCCGCTTATGCCTCGCTATAGCCCACGTGGGGTGGGCAACACAGGACATGGCGGGGGGGGGGGGGGGGGTTGCTCAGGGACTGACACTCCCCTCCCTTCCTCCCTCCCTCCCGGCAGTGACCGACTCCCCGGGCTCCTCGTCCTGCCCCGAGCCATCCTCCGGCTCGCGACCTACCAACGGCCGCGACGCCCTCACCATTCGCGGCCCCCAGAACCCGACTGGCGCGCGCCCCCTTTCGTCGGGAGGGCGGGAACAGAAAGAGCTTACCCACGAGTCATTGGCTGGCGGTGCCGTCAGTCGCCGGGACAGCCAGCGCGCTGCGTACCCGGCATGCCCCGCGCTAGGGAAAATGGCGGCCCCCAGTCGGTGACTCTTCCGGGTGGCTGGGCCGAGGAGGGCGAGGGCCGGAGTCCCTGACGGGAGCCGACCATGGCGGGGTTATGGTGGCCTACGAGGCCGGCGGCCGGGGCGCTGAGGGCGTGGGGCCCGCGTGGGCCGCACCGCGGCAAGACTGTGCAGGCCCCCCGCAAGCCGCTGCCCCGCACGCCCTGGACCACCCGCGGGCCGCCCCCGGGGGCCCCCCTGCCCCGCAGCTGGCAGGACAAGCGGCCGGTGCAGGAGCAGATCCCCGGGCTGGAGCAGGTCACCTACGCGGGCAAGCAGTACTTCGTGCCCTGGCTGGCCCGGCCCCGCCACCCGCCCTGGGAGCGTGGCTGGCACGACCCCCGCCACGCCCTGGGGCCGCGCTACGAGGCGATGCCCCTCTACAAGGAGCGCGTCTGCTACGTGTGCCACCAGCGAGCCAAGATGCTGGAAGGTAGCGGGCGCGGGGCAGAGGTGCTGGGTGGGTGAGGGAGCCAGGCCGCCGTGAGGACTGGGGGGAGGGGGGCAGCAGCACCCAGCCTTGCCTGGGGTAGCAGCGGGGTGTTGGAAAAGGCGGCCCCCTCGTTAGGGCACCAGCCTCGGGAGAGCCAGGGTCGGTTCCCTGAGCTGGCACTGCTTTCCTAGGTCACCCTGGGCAAGTTACTGCAGCTCTGTGCCTCACTTCCCCAGCTGTAGCTGGGGATGATAGCTGCTCCCCTGCCCCCCCCCCCCATTATAAATACATGAGGTTGTGAGGTGCTCAGATGCTACAAGTGATGGGGTCATATAAATACCTTAGACTGGGAGGAGGGGTGTAGAGGGACCTGCCTGAGAGAGCTAGAGTAGCAGTTAAGGGGGAACCACAATAATATGCAACAACTAGCTGCCAGACCTAGCCTATAATTGGGGCCCTACCAAATTCAGGGCCATGAAAAACTCCTCTCAGACTGTGAAATCTGGTGTTTTGTGTGCTTTTACCCTGTACAGATTTCAGAGGGGAGACCATCATTTCTCAAATTGGGGATCCTGACCCAAAAGGGAGTTGTAGGGAGATCACAAGTTTGTTTGTTTTTTTGGGGGTGGAGGGGGAGGGAGAGAGAGAATCACTGCGCTGAGTGGCTGGAGAGCAGTGGCTGTTGTCCGGGCACCCCGCTCTGAAGGCAGCACCATGCCAGCAGCAGCGCACAAATAAGGGGGGCAATACCATACCGTGCCATGCCATCCTTACTTCTGCACTGCTACTGGCAGCAGGTCTGCCTTCAGAGCTGGGCCTCCCAGCAAACTGCCGCTGCTCTCCAACTGCCCAGCTCTGAAGGCAGCACTACCCCAGCAGTGCAGAACTAAGGGTAGCAGTACTACAACCCCTTCTCCAATAACTTTGCAAACCCCCCCCCCCCATTCCTTTTTGGGTCACTACCTCTACAATTACAAAACTGTGAAATGGCAGACTTAAATAGCTGAAATCATGACATTTATGATTTTTGAAATCCCATGAACATGAAATTAGCCAAAATGGACTGTGAATTTGGTTGGGGGGTGGGGTTGCTGCGTGTTATAACTCAGGTGGAGGCTGCCCGTTATCCTAAAATAGCTCATATCAAGAAGGCATTTTGTGTTGGCTGGAGTGGCTATAACCTAATTCGTGTTGGGGAGTGGGCCACGCCTCCCCCCAAACCAGCTCACATGTATGCAACAATAGTGGTGTGCATAGTAGTCTAGCACCTACTTTCTTAGGTGGGTGGACCAACAAAAATACTGGATTAGTTTGTAAGGGCTGCAGGGTAGGAATCATGTCACCTGAAGGTACAGGGCTGTGCACAGTGGGGCTCTGATTTTTGTTGGGGCCGCAGCTACTATGATAATGTAAACAGAAAGCTAAGAAACTTTGGCAAGGGGTACAGGCTCTCTTTCCTTTCAGTATGGATACCAGCACTTAATTTCAGATGAACTATGCATGCAGCAGAATGCAAGATCCCATTTACATTTAACATGAAGTATAATATGCAAAGTATACATATGCTATATGTAGTCTCTCATATCTTGTTTCCTTGTAATTCTTAACCCAATATACTACAATTAAAAAATAAGTAGGGAAAAACACTTCTAAACTAATCTCTTTCAACTTACATGTGTAACTTATATGGTGCTAATGAGGCATGCACACTTATTTCAGTGTTGTAAAACAGTACATAAATGAAAGTGGTCAGACTACATAAAATTAATGTTCCTGATAACTTGGTCATGCTGAGAAGTATTCTATATTAGTGGTAGCATAAGT